CACAAAAAAAAAAAAGAAACTGTTACAGCAATGTGGCATTGCCGTGACATTTTTATTGCAGTTTATGAAAGTATTGGTCCACAATGAGTTGAGGAGAAAGAAATGGTCTTTCATCACAGATGGTTTGAGTAGCACTGCTCTAGACTACAGAATAAATTTAATCTTCTTAGCCTGGCATTCGAAGCCCCCCATGACCTTCTCACCCATGCAGGCTTAGTTCCCTGTGTATCTCCTTTGCAACCTACCCTTAAACAACTTAGAGTTTCCAAACTCTGCCAAATCTCTCCCTCACTCCTTCAGCCCATGGCATGACCCTGACAACTCAAATGCCTTCCTCATTCTTTTGCAATAATTATTCATCCTTCAAAACTCAGCCTAGCTGTCATCTCCTCTTAGAAGCCCTCCTAACCGCCTTGCCCCCAAACACGCTCTTCCCCAGGAGTGATCTTTGACTAATCATCTCATCTCTCTGAACCTCAATTTTTTCATCTGTAAAATAGGGATAATAATAGTATCTCCTTCATCAGATTGTTCTAAGCAATTATTTTATAAAAGGCTTCAATGTCTATGTTCCTCCAGAATCCTGGGGAGCCCACATGCATCCCGCTATGTTGTAATTGTTTATTTATAAATCCGTCTCCTCCTCCAGCCCATGATCTCCAGGGAGGCAGGGGATGTGTAGGATCGCCTCTGCATCCGCAGGGCCTGGCTAGAGAAGAAGCTCTGCAAACATGAGTTGAACAAGTGAGTGAGTAAATGAAGCCCTCTCTAAACCTAAACTCGAAACTCTAGGCAGGGCAAGAGGTATAGATATCTTATTGCTTTTTAAAAAATCAAACTCCGGTAAAACACCATACCTGGTAGAAATGTGGCCAGAAGGTGCTGATGGCAAGCTCCGCCTTCACCCAGCCCTCGGTGACGACCCCGGACACGTTCCAGACAGGGTTCCCCTGGGGCCCGCCGTTCACCTTCACATAGACATTCAAGGCCCCTGGGCTGGACCTGTCACGGCTGGAGAAGTAGTAATGGAAGTCAATGCAGTGGGTGTCATTCTCCTTCAGGGTCGGCAGGAGAAGGTGGGCCTTCTGGCCAGAGGCCCTCCCTGAGCTGTTCACCATCATGAAGGATCCTGCAGACCCACAAAGGGGGCGGGAAGTAGAGAGAAGGAGAGAGAAAGAAAATCCTTCTGAAAATCAGTCACACCCATAAACACAGTGGTCAGAAATCAAGTCACTCTAGCAGGATGGGGTTGGTTCTGAGGAAGCCACATCTCTTGTCTCAACCTGAGGATCCTCTTCTGTAATTGAAAGTAAAAAATCCTACTCAACAAGGCAGCTTTAAGAATTAAGAGATGGTAACATGTATGAAGTATTTCTCCAAAGTAAATAGTCTATACACATTTACAGAAGAAATGTTACATCCAGCAGCTCTGGAAGGAAGCATGGAATAAAAACCCAGAAATTTAGGGGCCGGCCCCGTGGCTTAGTGGTTAAGTGTGCGCGCTCCGCTACTGGCGGCCCGGGTTCGGATCCCATGCGCGCACCGACGCACCGCTTCTCCGGCCATG